GTAAGCCAATTTAAAAATGGGTTAAGGAATTGAACAGAGAGTTCATTATATATTCTGGATGTTAAACCTCTGTCAGATGTGTCACTGGTGAAGATTTTCTCCCATTCTGTGGGTTTTCTCTTTATTTCCTTGGTTGCTTCTTTTGATTTACAGAAGCTTGTTAGTTCAATGAGGTCCCATTTGTTGATTCTTTACCTTGTTTCCTGAGCAATTGATGTCCGGTTTAGAAAATCCTTTCCTGCACCTATATCTTGTAGGTGATTGCTAATGTTTTCTTCTAACAGTTTCAGAGTTTCAGGCTTCACTTTGAGGTCTTTGATCCATTTGGAGTTGGCTTTTGTGCAAGGTGAAAGATAGATAAGGGTTTAGTTTCATTCTTCTGCAGGTGGGGATCCAATTTTGCTTGCACCATTTGCTGAACATGCTGTCTTTCCTCCAGTGAATGTTCTTGGCCCCTTTGTCAAATATCAGGTGGCTGAAATTGCATGTACTCATATTTAGGTCTTCAGTTTTGTTCCATTGATCTGTGGGTCTATTTTTGTACCAGTACCATGTTGTTTTCATGACTATAGCCTGTAATACTGTTTAAAATCTGGTATAGTAATCCCCCCCAGCATTGCTCTTAGTGCTCAGGGTTGCTTTGGCTATCCAAGGTCTTTTGTGCTTCCATATGAATCCTAGGATGTTTTTTTTCCAATTTTGTGAAAAATGTCATGAGGATTTTGATTGGCATTGCATTGAATCTATAAATGGCTTTTGGTCAGATGGTCATTTTTACAGTATTCTTCCAATCCATGAGCATGGGAGGTCCTTCCATCTTCTGATGTCTTCCTCAATTTCTTTCTTTAAAGATTTAAAATTTTCATTGTAAAAGTTTTTAATGTCTTTGGTCAGGTTTAGTCCAAGCTATTTCCTTTTTTTGCAGATATTGTGAAGGGGAGTGTTTCCATGTAGTCTTTCTCTGGTTGCTTGTTATTGGTATATAGAAAGGCTACAGACTTTTGTAGGTTAATTTTATAACCTGCCACTTTACTGAACATGTTAATAATTTCTAGGATTTTTCTTCTTCCACCATGTGGGTCTCTGAGATTGAACTCAGGTCATCAGGTATCTTTACCTGCTGAGCTATCTTGTTAGCCCTGTTTTTAGTTTGATTGCTGTGTTTGGTCCACCACACAGCAAAGAAGTTTTTTGTTTTTTGTTTTTTTTTTTTTGAAAATTGCTTTAGTGTAGAAATAGTTGTTTCTTGGGCACACACTTGTTTTCTTTAAATAGGTTATTTTCAGTCTTATGCTTTAATTTTTAATAATCCTGGGGGAATTCTTTTTTTAATTTTATTATTTTTATTTTATGTGTATTAGTGTGTTGCCTCCATGTAGGTAAGTGTACCCGTGTTGTGCAGCGGAGGTTGGAAGAGGCTGTCAGATCCCCTGGGACTGGAGTTACGGACAGTTGTTAGCTGCCATGTGGGTGCTGGGATTTGAACCCGTGTCTTCTGCAAAGAACAATCAGTGTTCTTAACTGGTGAGCCATCTCTCCAACCCCGAGAATTCTTAAAGCAGTATAAATAAGTAATTCTAACATTATACATGTTACATTGTTTTCTCTTATACTAATACTTTATGATATTCATTTAGTAAAGAAGCATCTTGGTAGAAATCATCAGACATTTCCTCAAAACTGTATTTGGTTGTTTTGTAAGTGCGTTTATAGTGGAGGTACAGAAATGGAACCTGTTGTCACGCATAAATACACTCCTTAAATACATTGATGTTTTCCTAAGAGGAAAAGAATAAGATAAAGATTAAACTGTGGCTTGAGAATTATATTCTGGCATAAATTCTAGGAAAATATTCATAATCTTTAAGATTATACTATTGTGTTGCAAGACCTGTTCAAAATAATCTGCATTGGTAAAACATTTTTTAAAAATAAAAAACAGGGACTGGAAAGATGACTCAGTGGTTAAGAATACTTACTGCCTTTCCAGAGGACCTGGGATTGGTTCCCAACACTCATATGGCAGCTAACAATCATCTGTGACTCCAATTCCAGGGGTTCCTTTGCCCTCTCCTGACCTCCCCCAGCATTGCACACATGGGTGCACTTAAATACAGGCAGGCAAAACACTAATACACATAAAACAAAAGTAAATTTAAAAAGTATTTTTAAATAAGGCAAAACAGAAATCTCTGGGGAGTAGAGGATTTTTTCAATTCCTGTCCACAGAAAGTGGGTGATATAGTAAAAAGGCTTTTAAAATTAAGTGCAGTGGTAGTGTAGGGTGAAGGAATGGATATGAAAAGAATAACCAGTGTAGGGTTTTTTAAAGTTGGGAAGACAGTACACAAAGAAGAGTTTATATGTTGGAGGTAATTATTAAATGAATGGCAATTGAGTGGCTCTATAAACGTGTATATGATTTGACTTCAAGGAAAAGACTTTGCAGAAGAGCTAGTGATGGTAAAGACATGAATGAATGTGAGCCCTATGTATAGGTGGGTGTATAGATGACAAAGAAGCAACTGTCCTGGCTGCACTCATAGGTATTTAGTGAGTGAAGAATTAGTGCTAGACATTTGAATTAAAGAGAATTTTGAAAATCAAGGGAACAAAGCACAGTTTGTTACGACTGAAATAAACTATCTATGTCCATGATATATACTTTTAAAATGGTACATTAGCATGAGCATATTGGTCTGGTATTAGCCTAAAGAATAGGTAAGGGAAGGTGACAGGAGCTAGAACATTAAAGAGGTAATTATGCGTAAGTGACAAAAGCCTAATAGAAATGTTAGCGTTCAAAATGGCATAGAGGAGACAAAAGCGGTAACGAGGTGGAGAGATGGCTCAGCCATTAAGAGCACTTCCTGCTCTTCCAGAGGACCTGAGTTCAGTTCACTGCACCCATGTCGGGTGGCTTACAATGGCCTGTAACTTCAGCTCCGGAGGATGTGATGCTCAGTTCTGGCCTCCACAGGCACCTGCCCAACATGTGGCATACAAATATATAAACATAAATAAAAATAGATTTTAGAAAAAAATCTTGTATAAGATAGCAAGACTGTGATAGAACAAAATTAAGCACAAAGGGAAAGATGTCTGAATGATCTGAAAAAACAGTGTGATTCAGTCCACTATTGTATATATGCCTGTCACATACTAGATTTGTATCATATATTGTAAGTGGTCAGTGATCTACAGACTAAAATACTTTACCTTTGAAATGCCTTATTTCCTGCTGTACCAGAAAAACAAGAGTATTTCCTAAATCAAAATGTGTCCATTGGAATATTTCAAGCACATCTCAGCAAATGACAGAGACTTAAAACTACAAAGGAAATATCCTAAGAGACTGAAAGTTATTTTTGAGAGCATAGACTTTTTTTTATACTCATTTTGCAACCCAAGTAAAGTATAACAGAACATGCTTAGTAAATATGCATTTTTGGAGGGGAAGTTAATTCAAAGAAATGTGAAATTTTATATTTATATTTAATTTTTACAGTAAGTAAACTGTGCATTATTGATTTTGTGTTCCTATAACTATAAAATCTTGTATATATTTTTTCTTATTGCAGAAAGATACATTTACCTTTTTTGTTCTTTTAAAAAATGATGATTTCTTCATTAGCTTTTCCTATTTTGCTGTGTTTTAGGCATTATATGAAAGGAAATTTCCAGTTCCAAAGCCAGTTGATTACAATCGCCATGCAGTGATCATGGAGCTCATAAATGGCTATCCTCTGTAAGTATTTGTTAGTCTTGAAAGCATAGGTCCTAACATGGATTTCATAGTCATACAGAGGTTAGAAATGGATATATAAAGATAAGCTGAAAACTCAGTTTTATTCTGACAGTTTGTAATCTCAGCCATTTATTCGTTGATTCATTCACTCTTAAAATCTGTTAAATGTCTAAAGCTCAGTAGTGAATAAAACAAAGTTCCTGCCCTCATATTCTGATGGAAAGAGACATGCCATTAAAGGAAATACATATTGTATCAATACATGTTATAGATAAAAGTAAACCAGGATAAGGGAGATAGAATATTATGGTGTGGGTAGATTTCCTTCCTAAGGCAGTCAGGAAAAGTCTCACTAGCAAGGTGAATTCTTAAAGAGGAAACTATCTAAGACAGTATTCCAGGTAAAGGAAGGACATAGGCCCTAGAGTGTTCACAGCCATGGTTGGGGAGACACCAAGCCAGTGTGTCACTAGAGTGGAGTGACTCAGATGGGATGGGGGCAAAGGAAGAGGGATGGAAGTGATACAATCAGAGAAAGAGTGGGAAAGAAAGGAAACTGCTGTATCAAGGCAAGAGGTGATAGTAGCTCTAATCATAGTGACAGCCACAAAGATAATAAAAAGTGCTAAGATTCTCAGTATGTTCTACAGGTAGCAGCATGGATTATTTGGAATTGGATCTAGATAGGGATGTGAAGGATGTGGGGACTCGATGATGGACTTTGGTCTGAGTAATAAGCAGTGAGGAAAGGAAAATCTGAAAAGCATGGTGCCCTAATAGTTAAGTTATGAAGTATGTCAAGAAGGGGAAAGAGGTCAGCTGACTAGAAATGATGGCAACTAAGAATTTAGATTTAGCTACCTAAAAATAATTGGCAATCTTGACACCAGGTGTGGTGGCATATGCCTTTAATCCCAGCACTCCGGCAGAAGTGAGCAGATTGCTGTGAGATCAAGGCCAGCCAGAATTGGAGCAACATGTGTTTTGTTTTAAGTGTACCCCATGCATACAGTGCCCACAGAGGCCAGAAGAGGGCATTAGATTCCCCTGGAACTGGAGTTATGGACAGTTGTTTGTTAGCCTGTGTGTTCTTTACCGCTGAGACATCTCTCTAGGCCCTCCTTTTTTTTGTTTTAGTAGTTGGGGTATTTCTGCTGAGAGGAATGAGAAGAAAACTTAAGAGATAGGGACTGTAAATAATAACACACATCTGTATACTCATTAAAATCATGAGCAAGGACAAATAGGCTATTCATGCTTTAAATACTTTCAGATGTCAGATACATCATGTTGAAGACCCTGCATCAGTGTATGATGAAGCTATGGAACTAATAGTCAAACTTGGAAATCATGGACTGATTCATGGAGATTTCAATGAATTCAATCTCATATTGGATAAAGATGACCATATCACCATGATTGATTTTCCACAAATGGTTTCCACTTCTCACCCAAACGCTGAATGGTTGGTGTACTACTAAAACTGATTCTAGGTGTGGATGTTTGTGTATGATAGAATCTTTTTTTTCATAATTTTTCAATTATGTGATAGTTGAATCAGTAAATGGTAAGAATTCATTAGTTTTAATGTTACAGATTGGTTTTGGGTTTTTTGGGTCTTTTAAATTTTATTTATCTTTATGAGTGTTTTTCCTACATGTACGTAAGTGTATCCGTGTCCCACAGTGCCCACAGAGGTCAGAAGAGGGCATCAGATCTTCTGGAACTAGAGTTAAAGATGGTTGTTAGCCACCTTGTGGGTGGTGGACCCAATTTCTTTGCAAGAGCAGCCAGTTAACCACTGAGCTCTCCTGCAGCCCCACAAATTTGTTTTTTGATTCAAGGATATTTAAACTACTAGAATTTTCTTCATAAGAGAAACTTTACAGTTCCCCAATATTTTAATAGAGAAAATTAAACTACAATAAAGACAGCATTAAAAGGATTTGGACTTGAATTAATGTTCAGGTCAAATTTTCTTAGCCATGAACCCTTTGTTCAAACAGAATTTTTCAAAGAAGTCTTAATTTTTTTTATTTTAATTTTTGTATGTGTATGAGCTCTTGGCCTGCATATATATGCACCATGTGCATGCAAACCCACAGAATCCAGAAGAGGGCACCTCATACTCTGGAACTAGAGTTATGGACAGTTGTTAGTTGCCATGTGGGTGCTGGAAACTAAACCCAGATCCTCTGCCAGAGCAGCCAGTGCTCTTAACCACTGAGTCATCTTTTTTGGCCCTGGTTATCTAATTTTTTTTTTTTTTTTAATGGCTTGCTCTGAAGTAAATACATAGACAGGGAAATCCCAGATCCACCACTTACTTTGCCTTCCCCCTTTAATGCCGTGGTTGATCTCCCAAGGAAGTGTCCCCAAATATAACTTAATGGTCTTGCGATTTTTGATTGGGCTCAGTTGCAAGACAAGGACTAATTACCTCATGTCATTTTTTTCGCTTTTGTTAGTAGAAGGAATTCACATAAACTGTGGTCTGTGACATAGGACAGAATCAATACGGTGGTAATCATGTTCTCCACTTTACTTAACCAATTAAGCTGCTCAGATTGTGAATTATGATCTTTTCCTTAGAGAGACTGTCTATATTTATACTAGAAAACAATAACTGTAATTTAAAAAGTATCTCTGTGGGGCTAGAGAAATGTCTCAATGATTAAGAGCACTGGCTGCCCTTGCGGAGGACCTGGTTTCTGTTCCCAGCACCCACATGGTGGCTAACAACCATTCATTCCTCCAGTTCCAGGGGATCCAGTACCCTCTTCTGACCTCCATGGGCATTGCACAACACAGGTGCACTGATACACATGCAGACAATACACTCATGCACATAAAATAAAAATAATTTTTAAAATCCAACAAAATAATACTAAAGATTAATGGTTTGCATTTGTATATTCACTAATCTTGGGATATTGAATAATCACCATTTTAATTAATAAGGAAAGAGCCTTATTAAAATTAATCTATAAAGGAAGAGCCAAGAGTTATCCAAGTTATAGAAGGGATTAATGACACATGATGATGTCCACACTTGGGTTGCATTGCTCTTTGAAAAGGTGCTGTGATTTAATTTGAATTTTTATGAGCCAGTACTGGGACACTGGAGTTGTGCTTAGAGGTAGAAATTAAGATATAAGTGAGCCCTGTTTTTCTGCTTTTGAAAAGTTATTATAGAGGAGATGTTAACACATATAAAATAATGACTTTTTTAAATTCTAAGATTTCCCAGGATGTTCTGTTAGCAAAGAAGACTGGCATTGTGTTTTTATGTCCATAATTGCATTTTTCTCAAAATAAGTTAACTAAAATGCAAGACAACAGGCTGTTCATGTCACCTGTCCTCTGTTCTTTTGGGCGTTTTCTGGAGTATTGAATCCATTCTTGCTGTTTAAAAGCAGCCTTCTCCTCAGAGGTTCTGCTACTCAGTGCAGGTTACCATGTCCTCAGGTATTGTTCTGTACTGCAACATTACTTATCCCATAACTTATGGGTGCTACTGTGGATCAGTTAGTGGGTAGTAAAGGTAAATAAACAATCAGTAGGTTCCAGATTGTTCCTTAAGAATCTTTGGTTTTTATCTTCAGTTTTCCAGAGTTTGCTAGAGGTTGCAGTGGATATTCCTAATGAGAAACAGGCAAACAGACTGTAGATTGGAGAGGCTAAGAGAGAGCATGCTCCCACAATGTAGACCCATGGTCTCCTTTCTGGGGGCTCACACTCACCTCCCCCCCATCTGTCTTACTACATGTTAAGTACCTGCAAGAAAACCTTAACTTTATAATCATAAAAATAGAATTGACTGTTTATATCCTTTGAAATTTCCTCATATTTTAGTTTCTTCAAACACTGCAATGTATCTTTTTCTTTTGTCTAATAGCTTTTTCTCTTTCATATATAGAACAAATATTTACAAATAATATGGATTTTCATTAACTATAATTAGGGAAAGAACAAGCAACAAATACTTTCAAATAATAAATTTTTATTTTTGCAGGTACTTTGACAGAGATGTTAAATGCATTAGGGATTTCTTCATGAAACGTTTTGGCTATGAGAGTGAGCTGTATCCAACCTTTAGTGATATCAGGTTTGTATTCAGTATTGCTTATAATGATAAAACCCTTTAGATAGCTAATTTACTTAGTTCTAAAAGATACACTTTCATGTGAAATAATGTCCACATAGAGTGACCTTTGGTCACATAATCACTGTTGAGTATCATCTCTCTGTCAGCCTATTAAGACATTGCTATTGAATTTTTGGATGGAATATATTTACTTTGCTATGAATTAAAGAGTTTTCATTATATTTTGAATGTTACACATTCATAACCCATTTATAAGAAACCAAATGTTAATGAAGTTTGTGGGGGGTTTTTGTTGATTTTTTTTTTTTTAAAGATTGTGTGTATTTGTGTGTCTGTATATATGTACATATGATTTCAAGTGCCAGCAGATGCCAAGAAAGGTGGTCAGCTTGAGTTACAGGTGGTTGTAAGCCCCCCTGATGTGGGTTCTGGGAACAAAACTCTGGTCGTCTAGAAAAGTAGCAAGTGCTCTTAGCTGCTGAATCTTTCCAGCTTCCTGTTATTCTTTTATTCAGCATTATATATAATTTATGAGTTAAATTTTCTCTGTTTTATATGCTTTTAAGCATATACTTCCTAGTTTGGGATGAGTTCATAGTTTATCAAGAAATCTCTAGGCCCCTTTGAAAGTTAATTTATCAAGTTAATAAATATTGACTGAAGTATTTTTTAGTATTTTTAAAAAATATTTCATTATTTTTATTTTATGTGTACGTGTAAATTGCCTACATGTAAGTGCACCTGTGATGTACAATGCCTGTGGAGGACAGAAGAGACTGTCGGATCCCCTGGACCTGCAGTTACAGATAGTTGTTAGCTGCCATGTGGGTGCTGGGATTCAAACCTGGGTCTTCTGCAAGAACAGTCAGTGTTCTTAACTGCTGAGCCATCTCTCTAGCCCCATTTTATTTTTATTTTATGTGTATGAGTATATTGCCTGCATGTATGTAAGTGCACCTGTGTTGTGCAGTGCCCACAGAGGTCAGAAGAGGGCATCAGACCTCCGGGAACTGGAGTTATGGATAGTTGTTAGCCACCATGTAGGTGCTAGGAACTGAATCTGGGGCCTCTACAAGAGGCTTTTAACTGCTGATCCATCTCTCTAGCCCCTTGACTGAAATTTTTACAACCTGTTTATTATTGTGTTACTTTTGGGTCATTTAATTCTTCAAATGATAGCATGTATCTTTTATATTGCATATTTAAGTAATGTAAGTATGTTTTAAAGTGAGTAGGCTGTTGAGCTCACTTTAGATTCATAGAGTAACATCCCTCTCAAATATCTCTGTCTTTCACTACTAATCATCTTTTCCTAGGAGAGAGGATTCTCTTGATGTGGAGGTTTCTGCCAGCGGTTACACAAAGGAAATGCAGGCAGATGATGAGCTTCTATATCCAGTGGGTCCAGATGATAAAAAAATAGAAACAGAAGAAGGATCTGACTTCTCATTTTCTGATGAAGAGGCCTCGGAAAAACTAAAGATTTGGAGGTCTGAAATGGAAAATGAGCAGAACCCAGTAGATGAGTCAGGAGGCAAATGTGGCAGCTCATCTGGAGACCTCAAGCAAATAAAGGAAGACAGTTTGTCAAAGGAGAGTACTGATGCACCCAGTTTTGAAATGGCTGAAATAAATCAAGCTTTAGGTGACATAAAAGAGCAGGTTATTGACAGCAATTCTGTATCTGGGTTTTCTGAGGAGGACAGAACTGAAAATGACACCAAGCAATATGGTCAGGCAGGTCAAGGGGGAGCCCCTGCTGGCTCTGAGGAATATGAAGATGAATGCCCTCATCTGGTCACCTTGTCAGCGTTGAACAAAGAGTTCAGGCCTTTCAGGTATAGATTCTTGTTTATTTTTTGCCTTTAATTTTGAGATCAATACTTTCTTTGATTCTGACAAATGAGTGTGTTTGAAAAAGAAAATAAGTACAGTGACGTAATTGTACTTATGTCACCCACCGTTGTATCTTTTGCACTTTTGTTTGTGAAGTAAAATGTGAGAGTTTTGTTCCTTTTTCACATAACTCTGTACCTTCAGCCTTTGGGGCTTTTAAGAAACTAAGAAAATTAGAGCAGAAACAGAATAAAGTCAGCTAGCAGAAAAAGCTGTGCTACCAAATTTTGAGTAATTGTCTTGGTCAGGGTTCTGTAGACCCAGTATAATCAGAAGGAAATTTATTACAGTTACTCCTCAACTTACCATGAGCTCACATCCACTAAACCTGTCATAATTTGAGTATAAGTAAAAAATGTGTTTTAATACATCAAAACACCAAATATCATAGCTTAGAAGCAGCATACATCATAAAGTATCTGTCGTTTACTCCTGTGATTGCATAGTTCATCAGGGCCTTCAGCTGACTACTTTCCACCATCTCAAAAGAGTACCAATACTCGTATCACCAGCCAAAGAAGAGATCAGAATTTAAAGTGTGGATTTTACCAAATGAGTTATCACTTTCATAGCATTGTAAAGTTGTAAAATGACAAGCTGAGCCATTCTGAGTCTAGGATTGTCTTTATAAGGAATTGGCCTTATATAGACTGTGAAGTTCAAGTATCTACAGTGAGCAAACTGGAAATCCAGGATAGCCAATAGTGTCAGCTCTAATCTGGTTCCAAAGGCATAAGAATGTTCATTTCCCAGCTCAGAGATAGTTGAGCAGAGGGGAATTCTCTTACTTTGCCTTTATGTTCTGTTCCAGCCTTCAATGAACTTGATGAGGTCACATTGGGAGAGTAGTTTGCTTTACTCGGTACCAATTCAGAAACACCCTCTTATAACACCTTGAATAATGTCTAAATATCTGGCAAAACCTACATAGGGTTAATGGTCTTTTGAGCAGGGGGCGGGACAAATGATTTGTTCTTACTCTTTGAACATACAGTGTGTGAAATTTATTCCTAAATGGTCTTTTAAGCAGAGAATGTAGAAGCAAAGTAGGTGTTGCAGGGCCAGTGAGCATGGTGCTACATACCTGAAATCCAAGCACTAACACATGGGAACTTGAGACCCGAGTGTGGAAGAACAGCCTTAGTTACCAATAAGACCCTCTCTCCAAAAAGAGGGAGAATATTGCATCTCTCTCTACTATGTCTACTTTTGTTTTGAAGGTAGGGAGAAAGAGAGATTTAGTCTATGTGGGGCAGATTTCTATAGTTTAGTGAACAACACAAATGAATTTATTGGTTACTGGGACATTTTATCATTGTGAAAGCGTGATAGTGACATTCTGTCAGAATATTGTATCTATCAGGGTGTTGAAAATATAGTGGACTGAATTGTAGGTAGGTTCACTTTTACTTTCCAAAAATTTTTAACATAATTATCATTCTGAGGCATTTTATATCTATGTCAGAGAAATAATAGGAATTAATTTTACATTATAAAAATTAGTGAAATTGTGGACTTCTTAAATTTTATTTATTTTAGAGATGAAGAAAATATGAGGAATATTAATCAGCATAGATCAAGGACTTTGAGTGTTACATCTTCAGGCAGTATCCTTAGCTGTTCAACAATCCCGCCGGTAAGTATAAAACAACTATCGACTGCTGAGGCCAGAGCTGTGGATAGCAGTGAACTCAGGTACTTGCTGGATTACAGGATACTTGAAGACATTTGGACCTGTGTGCTAATGTTACAAAATTAGAGCAGGCAGTAACTTACTAAGGGATGACAGGGTTTACTTTAATTCAGTGATCAGAATTTTGAGGGAAAAGGCAACATATAAGTTAGCTTGAACTTTAAGGATAAAACCTTATGTATTTTGGCTCCAAAGGAAATTTTGTAACTTTCCATGTGATTCAGTCTTGATTTTAACAAGAAAAGTCTATGGCTTTGCCCAGGGTTAAGGCCAGGCAGTGTGACAGACGTGAAGACGCAACACCTCAGTAGTTCTTACATATTGGAAACTAGGTAAGTTAAAATATTTTAGCATCAAGTTTTTGTTGCTTCCTTTGGGCATTTAGCAGTAGTGTCCAAAGGATTTACAAAAGGGACATTTTCTGGACAAGATGGTGAGCAAATACATTCCACTAATTGAAGCTTTTGGCTAGTAAACCAACCTTTTTTCTGACCTTTCCAGTAGCATGATGTAGTGTAGAGATAATTAACCCTCTCAGGGGCCCTGTGGAGGTGTTGTGTCTCCAATTCCCTGATGGTGGTGTTATAGAGATAAGTCAATCTCATAGCTGCCATTTAGGTAAGGCAGGAATTTACATAATTCCTCTCCTGGCCAAAACAAAACTACCCTTGGTTTTGTTTACTTCCTGGTTGTTTTGTCAGGTAGTCAACAAAAGCTACTGGGTGAACTTAGAGCTCACCACATTTCCTAACCTTATTTCTAGATTGGGTAGTTTTTAAAATTATGGTCTGATTGAGTATTCTCAAATTATTTTCCATCTAACATTAGGAAAATAAAGTAACACAGAAACTCATCAATTTTTCCCTAAATTAAACTCATATAATTGTTGTGTTGTACTTTTTCCTCCTGTTTAAGTTTCATGCCACAAAAGCTAGTTTTTAGAGATAATTTATTCACAGTGAGCAAAAGAAGGAAATCGGTTTAGAAGTTAAGAAGTGAGGAAATGAAATGATTACAAGTAAATTCAGAAGAAATTCTAAACTTTATAACATATTCAGATATGTCAGTAAATTAAAATATATTTTCTGTTTTGGATAATATATTCCAATCAAAGAATTAAATAGGAGCTATCAAGAACAAAGTCAAAATTCACTCTAGGGAGATGGCTCGATATAGTTCAGAGCCCCAGCACCTACGTAAAATGCTGAGCATAGTTGTGTTCACCTGTATTCTGTATTCCTTTTACTGAAGAAGTAGGGACCCAAGAATCCTGGAACTTGCTGGTCAGCTACTCAAGTCGGTGAGCTCCAGGTTTAGTGAGAGACCCTATCTCAAAAAAATAAGGTGGGGAATGATAGAAGAAGACACCCAGCACTGGTCTCTGGTTTCCACACCATGCATGCACACGTGCACGTTCACTCATGCACATATGGGCACACAAGAGCACATGCATATAATTATAGTGGTTTATATGCAGTTCTCACAGTTCATGATGACACTAGACTTTGAGATTTTCTGTTCTTACTAGGATTTATTTGCCCTCCTTTCTTTGATTTCTCAGAATCAAAACATAACTTTTTTGTCTGACTACAGTGCTGTACACTAACCTTTTAATTTATGCCATCTTCTATATCTGAAGATGTTGACTCAGATAAAACAATCGTGATGGTCTTTTTCTCCTTATGCATCTCCCTCAGCCAGAGTCATGAACTTAAGAGAAATCTTGAACTCTTCTATCTTGAGTTTTATGAATGCTAATTTATGAGTTTCTTTGCTAAGGGGGGTGGAGGGGAGGATCCCTTCAGCCTAACTTCCTCAATAAAGATTTCTGTGTGATCATTTGAATCAAATTCCTTACCATTATTCTTTCTTGAAATAAATTTGATTGAGACTGAGTCTGTGCCATCCATCTAGGCTGGCCTCAAACTCAAGGTTCTCATGCCTGTGCCTTTCAAGTACCTGAATGTTTTTTCATACTGTTTTCCTTTTATTTTGTTAAAATGACAGAAGGAAACTGTTACCTCCATGAACTTGGTGGTGATTGTTTTGGAATTTGTTCAAAGACAAAAATTTTAAATTCCTTGAAATTATAAATGGAAAGTGTTTTCCTCTTTAATCATTCCTGTTAGTCATTTGCATTGCTAAGAACCAAATCCAGATCTTCCTGAAAGCTAGGCATGCACTCTTACCACACTGTACTAGCCATTTGTAAATTCTGTTCTTTATAATATGTAACAATTAAATGATTAAACCATAAGGTACATTGCTTCTTAATACATGTGCATGTGACTAGCATGTAGTTTGAGAACATTTTGTTTTAACAACAAGAAGGAAAGGTGACTTTCATTCGTTTTTATGTACTTGCCAAAATAACGATATTTTACTCCATGTTGCATGCTTTCTTAAAATATAACTACGCGGATTTTTTTTTTCTCACTAAAGAAAAATAGCTTGTAGAATTTGTAAATTGTTCTACGTATGGGGTCCAGAGAAAGAAAGGTTTAAACTGAGTATCTCAGATTTCTTTTTTCTTTTTCATCTTTTAAGCCATATGACCTGTATAAATGGTGTCTTTTAACTAATAAGTGATTTGAATTTTTAGTCATCGCCTATGAGAAAATGTTTTATATCTCCAAAACACTCTAGGAAGACTCCATGAGTCACTTCTGACATCAGGCCATTCATACAGCTGACCTTGTCGAGCCATGTTTGCAAATGATGTCAAGTGGTTAATGGCTGCTTTTCAAAAACATTTTTTCAAGGCTTAGATCTAGCTCATCTGGTAGAGTGCTTGCCTAGCATGCACAAGGCCCTGGGTTCAGTCACTATCACCATAACCCAGATGGCTCATGTAATCCCAGCACTTGGGAGATGGAGGCAGGAGGACCAGAAGATCAAGGTCACCCTTAGCTACATGTGAGTTCAAAGCCAGCCAGGCTACATGAGACCTTGTCTCAAAAAACCGAAAAACTTCTTCATTACAAAATCATGTCTTATTTTTACCAGGAAATCAGGAAGTTTTCATCTTGTTTATTCCCTCAGTGTTCATGATAATGGACACTGGGTGGCACTGTTCGTTATTTAAACTATGCCATATGCTGTCTCTTTTTTGCTGTATAATCTATTCCTGCTAAGAATTTAATTTTACAACAGCTTCTCCTGGTTTATTTTATATACTAACTACTTTTTTAATAGTGTTGGGATTTTTAAAATTCATCCTTTTTACCATGTAAATTTGAAAGATATTAGGAATGTAAATCTTTGTTTTCTTGAATTTCTGTTCTTTATTAAAATGGTTATTAGTGATACTGATTTTAAAAATCTTTTCAGGAACTGGTGAAACAGAAGGTGAAACGTCAACTGACAAAACAACAAAGATCAGCTGTAAGACGCCGACTACAGAAAGGAGAAGCAAATGTATTTACCAAGCAAAGGAGGGAGAACATGCAAAATATTAAATGCAGTTTGGAAGCAGCCAGCTTTTGGGGAGACTAGTTATATTTTCTGATCTTTTATATTTCTGATATATATTTTTAAGTTACTGTAATTCTATTTTTTGCCACCTTTGGTCTTTGGACCAAGGCCAGCATATAAATAGAGAAATAAACCTTCTTTAATCATTAAATTTGACTCATTATATGTCTTCTGAAGGAAACTTCACAGTAATTCTGCTAGGTAATCTAGTTCTTTTTTAAGTTCTTCAGTTAACTGCTGAATTTGCTAAAATAATTTGTTTGAAGTAACTTTATCAGCGGGATTTGCGTATTTTTGAAACCACGAGTATCATTTTTGTTTTATTTTGGTGTTTGATCTCTTCTTGAACTCTTTTGGGGTTCAGATCCTGGCTTTACACTAATAGAAACAAAGCAAGTTGTAGTGTAGTGTTCTTTCTTTCTCCTTTAGTCTTAAAGTTAGATTTTATTAGTTCGAGCAGTTGATTTTAGGATTACGTGAGACAGTGCACATAAAGCATGTCTTGTCACATCACATTCAGTAAGGCACAGCTATTAGGATGGTGGTGACAATGGCATCTCAGCAGTTCTGCTAGCAAAACTGCTTTTTATATGGCCATTGGGAAACTTGACTGCCTTCTCTTTGTTTAGACTTTAGTGGTAAGGATAAGCCAGTCATCTGTGGTCTTGGGAAAGAAACGACGTAGTTCTACCAGGATTTTTATTGTCAGCTCTCATACACATCGGTGCCAAACTGTGGTTAAGGGTGGAGATAGGAGGGTAGAGGAAATAAGAGTAAAATGTTCTTCCTCATTTTCTTATATGGCTGAGTCCAGACCATGTTCCCACCTCAACATTAACAAGTATTTAGTGCAGGAAAAAAATAAAAATCATCATCCATTCCTCCAACACTGTAATTTAGCAAGACTCAGATGAGTATGCCCCAGATGCCAGGGTCCCTTCAGTATCCCAGAGCAGATGAGTAGAGAGAGGGAGCTCATGATTAGTGATCAGGGAGAAATGACCACTAGGTGGCAATGTACCCCCACATGACCAACAGGATGTCTTTACTTGCATCAGGGGTGATAAACCAGAAGGAATATAGTGGATGCTTTTCCATAATATAGACATCAGATTCCTCTTCACCTTAGAAATAACTATTTGCTATTTGCAACTGATCATTATCTACATTTAAGTATTTGGATGCAAGATCAATTCCTTTGAAAATTAGCCTGATTTTGGAAGTATTAGTAATTCTTTAAATTTTAAATATTTAAGGTCAGGTATTCATTTTATACTCTGTTAAAAGTATTTTTGTAGCATAAAGTAATGTTGAAGACAGCCTAGTATGACCACAGAATGTTTATTTTGGCATATATTTTCTTATATCCTAATTGTTGAAAGCTAACTGGGAATAAAAGTGTGTGATGTCATCCTTCTTGGGTCATCTTGAATACCTACTGCATAAAAATTTCATTTACATTGAGAAATTTAGAAGGTATAAATGGGCATGGTTCTTATTCTTAATAGCCTAAGATTGCAAGTTCCCTACCAAACAAATTCAAATCAGAAAGAGAACTCACCTAATTTGATAAAGATTAATGGTAGTTACTAAAACTATAGTACCAGATGATATAAAGCAGTTAAATTTCTATGAGCTTTGTTTGGAAACTAGGATCTAATCACAACTTTTTGAAAATGTTTTAGAGTAGCCAGCAATTGAAAATAAGTTCATCCAGACAAGCTGTGACCCTCATGTTAAAAAAAATAATAATAATAATAGGAAACAATGGAAAAGCAAAATCTATTTCTAATGTACTAGACCTGTATCTTTTGAGTTAAAACACTTCTTGCCTAGATATGCAAGGCCTTGTATTTGATCTCCAGCACCACAGGGGGTCAGGGGAACACTCCAGATTTCAAATTTTAGATCCCTGGTTCCAGGACTTAAACATCAAGTACCTTCTTTAGCCCCTCAACTTCATCCTCTTGTTTCATAGAGTAGGAGCAGCTGATAGTGTCTATCATAGAGTGGTGAAGACTAAATGAAAGAATACTTAAAAGGACTAGGCATGTAACTCAGTCATAGAGTGCTTGCCTGGCCTAGTGATGCCCAGCACCCCTAAACCCCCAAAAAACAACTTGTAAAAAGCTTAATGCAGTGCCTCAAACATAAAATTACTTAAGAAAATATTTGCAGAATAACCATTCCTATTTCACTGACATCTAGGCTGTGATCCATTCTTGTATTACGAAGACTCAGACCAGGTTAGATGGTTGAAGCCCTGGATTCAATATCCATCCCAGACCCTGCCCCCAAAGGAACAACTCAGCAGTTTAGTTGTTTTCTTGCTGTTTACTTTGTTCTCTTTCACAAGCTTTTCCTGTACAATATGTGGCTTATATTTGTACTAACTTTGCATTGATGACTTCTGATCTATCTAGCACACAGCTGGCTTTGAGCTTGGGCCAGGACCATAAAATGTTTAGAGGGTACTAATCACAGGGTTAGTGCAGCTTAAAATAACCATTCTTCTGCCAAGTACTTAGTAAATTTTCTTACACACAGCTACTCAGAGGTTTCTCTGATGCTGCCTTCAGGTTTACCAGCCAGTTGCAGGGTAGGCCAAAGCTCATCATCCTGTCCTTCATCCCTCAGAACATCTCTCAGGAAAACATGAGACCATAGCTTAATTTGCCATTGGTTCTCTATATGAAGCACTGAAGCCATCTGACAACTAAGTAAGAAAACTGGAGATTAAAGTTGAGAGCAGCCAGTGGGCCACAAGCTGTAGTGTGAGGATAGCTCCAAAGCCCAAGGAAAGGTATAGAAAGCTCTATCATTTGCAGAGATAGCTGTTGTAGTATTTTACAATCATTTACCTGGGCTGGAAAAATGGCTCAGCAGTTAATGAGCACTGGCTGCTCTGGCAGAGGGTTCAATTTCCAGCACCCACATGGTTGCTAAGAACTGTCTATAACTCCAGTTCCAGGGGATCTGACAGCCTCTTCTGGCCTCTCCAGGCATTGTACAACATGGGCATGTTTTCATGCCTGGAGGGAAAACATACAATATAAAATAAATAAGATTTAAATATTTTACATTAATATTGTAAATTGCAAAATAATGAAAAATCAATGTAAGTTATAAAACATTAAAATGATATAATGTGCTTGCTGTACCAGCAAAGAAAGCTAAATTTTTATCTCTAGCACCCCTGTCAAAAATAAAACTAGGCCCTATGTGTGGTGCCCACCTGTAACCCCAGTGCTGGGCTAGCACAAAACCACAAACTTCCATTCCACTGAGAGGCACAAAACAGGTAGAGAACAATAGAGGAAGAAATCCAACATTGACCTATAACCTTCACACGTGTACACTTGGGCAAGTTCACCTACACATGTGTCCACCTAATTAATGTAGATTAAATGTATTAATATATTAAAGAATTAATGTAATTCTTTATGCTTCAAAATGTAAATAAAATCTATTAGGATAGTTTTATCATAATATCATATGCCCACCCACCATCCCCCACCCCCATTTTTTAAAAAAGACAATGACCATTAATTTTAAAAATTCTGTAATTCTTCTGTTCCTAGATTAGGAGGAAAGACCTGTTGTTTTTATATCAGTTTTCAAAAAGCTTGGTAGTGTGTAAAGTTATCATGGAAAGTATATACAGGGTTTGGTTTGGTTGGAGAGGGTCTCACTATATAGCCCTGGATGGCCTGGAACTCACTATGTAGATTAGGCTGACCTAGAACTCACCTGCCTCTGCTTCATGAGGACTGAGATTAAAAGCATGTACCACCACATCCAGGTGGTATGTAGGTTTTTAAGATAAAATTATGGGGGCTGGAGAGGTAGCTCAGTGGTTAAGAGCACTGGCTGCTCTTGCAGAGGACCCAGGTTCAGTTTGTTAATAACTGTCTATAACTCCACTTCCAGGGGATCCAGTGCCCTCTTCTGACCTCCATGGGCATTGCACGACATGGGTGCACTTACATACATGCAGGCATACACATAAAATAAAATAAAAAATAAAATAAAATAAATAAAAATAATATTAAAAACATTCTGAGGGCTGGAGAGATGGCTCAGTGGTTAAGAGCACTGGTTGCTCTTGCAGAGGACACAGGTTCAATTCCTAGCACCCACATGATGGCTAACAATCATCTGTAACTCCATTTCCAGGGAATTTGACAGCCTCTTCTGACTTCCATGGACATTGCACGACATAGGTGCACTCGCATGCATGCATGCAATACATTCATACACATAAAATAAAAATAAAACATGGGGCTGGAGAGACACCTTTTTCTGACCTCTGTGGGCATTTACATGCAGGCAAAACACTCATACACATAAAATTTTTAAAAATTAAATAAAGACCAGTGTCCTGGGGGATTTATTTGAATAGGTAGATTGGAAAGATACAGTTGCAGGGGAGGAAGTCATGCAGAAAATGTGGAAGACAGGAGTGAGATGCGCGATTGCTGTAGTGCAGTTGGTGGGGGTGGGAGTGGTTGTGCAACCAAGGACCAAATCAAAGATGACATGGAAAACAATGCATTAGTGAAAAGCAACTGTAGGTTGTGACTTAATGGTGCCTTGGTTTCAAAGAGGACTATGTGGACTCAGGGACACTTGTCAATGTTAGAATGGTTTGGAGGGAACCAACTAAAACAGAAAAGGCAGAGACAGCATGGAACAGGCTCATTCTGTCATACCAAAACTAGAGACCTTCTGTGACCTTGTTTTAATTGTAGCTGTAAGAAAAACATCTTTAGAGGACAAATTTCTTGCCCAAAGTCACAAAAAGTACATTTTTGAGAGGGTTGGTAGTTTGATGGAGCTGATAATGAAAAGGCGAATTGCAGAAAAGCTGGTCTTTTAGGTGGTTTAGAGCTTGCACTTGGCCTGGGGTCTCCTGAAGATCCACTAAATACCACATCTGCCTGGCCTCCTAGGCTCTGAGATGTGAGAGGAGACAGTCCTCATATGCAGATTTTGAGATCTATCTTCTGTTGTACCTCACTTTTTAGAAAACATCTTTTTCTGTAATAATATGATAAGCCTCTCATCTCATTACACTCCCCAAAACCCCATCGCAATAGACAAAAGTCCTCCATCAGAACATTCTGGGTCTTTTGGAGGGCAGGGGGCTACAGAAGGGAATACTTTCCCTTTGAACTCAAGGCTACCCAGGTACCTTGAGAGGATCAGAAGAATGTATTCTAAAACTTGGGCTTGCTCCAGTTTTCAATTTGTGGAAAAATAGACCCCTTTTAT